ATATATATATATATATATATATATATATATATATTTATATAGTGTATATAGTGTAAAAAATAATGTTGAGGCTATATTTTTGAAAATTTATGTAATAGAACTAGTCAAGAAAAAATTTTATGAGATAAAAGTATGTTAGTGATGACTTTGAACATACAATAAATAGGCTGGGCATGGTAGCTCACGCCTGAAATTCCAGCACTTTGGGAGGCCGAAGTGGGTAGATCACCTGAGGTCAGGAGATCAAAACCACTCTGACCAACAAGGTGAAACCTCGTCTCTATTTAAAAAATTTTAAAATAAATAAATAAATAGCATTTATGATGTAAAGTCTATTATTTTCAGATATTCAAAATGTTTCTCTTTTGCAATTTAGATGATTACATTCCACTTACATTTTCATTCAAAAATGCCTCTTTTTTTCAAGCTAGCATTAAAATCTTGACCATCAGCTTCCTCATTTCCTCCATGTCTTCATGCTTCTTCTGTAATGCAGGCCTCAGCCCACTGACCTGACCATTTGTCACCCGGCCCTCATCCACAGAATGATGCTCCTTACTGTGGTGTCATTGTTGTCTCCAGGGCTGTCTGAGTCACTGTATTTTCAGAACGACTTCAGGTGCAAAGTATTTTTTTACCTGAACAAGGTGATGAGAAGTTTCTCCATCTGCACCACCTGCCTACTGAGTGTGCTTCAAGCCATAATCACCAGCCCCAGCAGCTCTTTGTTGGTGAGGTTTAACTATAATTCTACCATTTTCACCTGCCATTTCTTGTTCTTTTTACATTTTCTCAGTTTTTTTGTTTGTAGTAGTAATCTCATCTTGTGCACTGTGGCTTCTACCAATGTGACCCTGAGCAATCTTCTGCATATCAGTAAATTCTGTTTACTTTTCCACCATGAACTCCATCATCAGAAGACTGTGTCTTGGCCATGCACAGTGGCTCATGCCTGCAATCCCAGCACTTTGGGAGGCAGAGGCAGGTGGATCACAAGGTCAAGAGATCAAAAACATCCTGGCCAACATGGTGAAACCCTGTCTCTACTAAAAGTACAAAAATTAGCTGGGTGTGGTGTCACATGCCTGTAGTCCCAGCTACTGGGGAGGCTGAGGCAGGAGAATCACTTGAACCCAGGAGGCAGAGGTTGCAGGGAGCTGAGATTGCACCACTGCACTCCAGCCTGGCAACAGAGCAAGACTCCATCTCAAAAACAAAAAACAATAAGACTTTCTTATTCTGCATTATCCAGATATGTTTTTCTTATAGGAACAATGCTGCTTTCAAGTGCATACAGGGTGGTTCTTTTGTTCAGGCACCAGAAGAAATTCTGGTACTTTCACAGCACCAGCCTCTCCCCAAGACCTTCCCCAGAGGAAAGTGCCACTCACACCATCCTGCTGCTAACGAGCTTCTTTGTGGTCATCTACTGGGTCTGTAATAACCTAGTTTGTGTTAGCCTAACTGACTCCATCTCAGCAGTAAGCTCCAGCTTAGCTTCTCCCTCCCTGCCTCGGCCCCCTGACGTGCATTACTGGGTCACGCTGCACTCAAAGCTTTGAACAGTTAAGAGTGGTTCACACTGTTCACAGTGCCTGTAACCACTGTAACCGCATGCTGCTTGGCAAGTCTACCTGCTATTGAGAATATCTTCCTTGGTGACTGATTGTATGGAAAGTCCCCCCTGCTACCCTCCTTGATGATTGGATGGAAATACCCTTAGCAACCAGCAACTATGGAAACCTCCTGCCTCCTGGTTACCAGCATCCTCCTACTTACTTGCTTGTTCTTCTTCTGTAAAATTCCGCTTCAGCTAGGCTCCTCCTCCCCTATCCTAAACTAGGTATAAAAAGAAATGAAGCCCCTTCTCCAGGCCGAGAGGTTTTGAACTTTGGCTGACTCTCGGTCACCCGCAATAAAGGACTTGTAATTTGAACTCAGAGCTTGGCACTTCTTCTGTGACTCGCTTGGATACAACAGGTGGATTTCATCATCTCATTCACCTCAACCTTACTATGGACATATGACCCTGTTGTCCTGGGTGTCCAGAGGCTTGTGGGCAATGGATGTGCCATTGTCAGTCCTTTGGTGCTACTCAGATATGATAAAAGGACAATCAGTGTGATGTAAACAGTGAGACAGAAGATTAAAAAGTTATTTTTATTGAAAACAGATTATTCTGTCACCAGTTAAATTACTTAAGTAGTACAGAACTTGCTATCTAATTTAACTTAAATGTATGGATTTACACTTTCAATATGTCCAAATACTTTTGAAACTAATGCTGCCAATTCTGTTTTTTTTTTTTTTTTTTCAGTTTAACATACATGATGGATAGATATTCCCATATGTTTACAAGTGTCTTCTATTTTTCATTTTAATTTTCAGGACTTAATATAAAAAACATTTTTCTTTCTTTTTGAAGTATCATATTAAGAATATCCTTCTGGTAATATATCTCTCTGTCTTTGTATTTTTGAGAATGTTTTATTTTTATCCTTACTTATTAAAGATCTTTGACTAAATACTAACTTCTTACACTCAATATTTACTTCTCTTTGTTCTGGCTTCTGTCAAGGCTGTGTGGATGGTGCCTACAAATTTGTGGTTTACCTCTGTTTTTTATCTCCCTACTTTTAAGATTTTTCTTTCTTTTTAATGTTACACAGCTTGACTATTATCTTTGTGTAAATGATCACTGTATTTACCTTTTTTGGGGGAAACTATGCACTTCTGAATTTGAGAAATTTTTTCTGGCTTTTAATTTTACAAAAAATTAGCAATTTCTTTTAAAAAATTATATTTGTGTTTTATTCTTTGTATATATTTCAGTGAAACAATTGAATATATTTTATTCCTTCTAATCTTTGTCTTTATAGATCTATACATACATTTCCATTTTATATCACTTTACTTCATTAGCATCGATTTTCTCTCCTTAACCTTCCAGTGTACTATTTCTCTCATTAGCTTATTCCAAGTTAATAGTTTCCCAATACAATGTATATTGAATTTATAGATTTTTATTTCTCATTTATTCAATTTACAGTTGTTCTTTCCATGGATACTCTTCAATTTTAAAGTTTCTTACTCTTTAAACATCATTTTTGAGACTGGGCATGGTGACTCATGCCTGTAATCCTAGCACTTTGGGAGGCTGAGGTGAGCAGATCACCTGAGATCAGAAGTTCGAGACCAGCCTGACCAACATGGAGAAACCCCATCTCTACTTTTATACAAAATTAGCCAGGCGTGGTATTCGCCTGTAGTCCCAGCTACTCGGGAGGCTGAGGCAGGGGAATCGCTTGAAGCTGGGAGGCAGAGATTGCAGTGACCCAACAGCGCACCAGTGCCCTCTAGCCTGGCGACAGAGACTCCGTCTCAAAAAAAAATTTTTTTTTTGTTTCTCATCACTGAATTGACTTAAACATTTTTTTTTTTTCAAATTTTTTTTTTTTTAAATAGAGATGGGGTTTCACCTTGTTGGTCAGGCTGGTCTCGAACTCCTGACCTCGTGATCCACCCACCTCAGCCTCCCAAAGTGCAGGGATTACAGGCACGAGCCACCACGCCCGGCAACTTAAACATTGTAAATACAATTCCAATATTATTAATTTATCTAGCGTCCAATGTCTTCTTACTCTAAATAGTGATAACTTGTTTCTTGTGTGTACGTCATAACTTATAATTTAGTTGTCATGACTGGGAGATCTTTCCTTGTAAATGTCTTCAATCAGTATATTTGTTTGTTCTACTTGACCTGGTACAGTATTATCAATTTTGCCTTGTGATCAGCCATTGGCTTCTCATGTTGATAAAGCCTCTGAATATTTTCTTGACTGATTTGTTTTCCTGGAAAGTTCTGATATTTTTCCTTTTAACCCCATTGGGCATTCTAGAGATTTTTGTAACTTTTGACACACAAACATTCACATTGCACACATAAGTAAAATATTTAGTTATGTATTGCTACCACACAGCAGCACCTTCTCAGAAATCTTGAGTCTCTTTACTTGAAACACCCCCTCCCCAATATACAGTATGGTACACTGATGTGTAGAATGTGATTAGTTTATTAATCACATGTGAAAATATTAGTAGCTACACATGGCCAGAATAGATTTTTCTCTCTATAAATGTAAGTTAGTACTGGTAGAATTTGTTATGCAAAATTTGGTTTTTTGGTTTCATTGACTCTGTAAATTAACCTCAGTATCAATTTCCTTTTAAATTCAATAGTTATTCAAATTGATCTAAAGTTAAACTTGTATGTAGCTAGATACTTTTTGTGGGTGACACTTTAATTGACAGTTTCTGATGTCATTTCAGTGTCTAGAACATGAGACCTATTGGAGATCTACTTTCATGAAATTAAATAATATTGGGTCCAAAATTTCAAAATTTTAAATATTTTTATTTGGAATATGAAAATAATTTATATGCTCTTTTTACTGGCTAATAATGCAATTTGTTTTTTATCTGATATTCAAACTGTTTAAAAAAGTTAACAATCTGGGATGAAGCTTCCAGAGGGGAAAAAAAAAGTTAACACTCATTGATTTATTTGTTGTATATACAAACAGTTTTTTCTATGACAGTTTTAATGTCACCTAATATTTTAATGTTTGAATTTCACATTTAAATAAATTTTGTGTTGTTTATTTTAATCTCATAGGTATTCAATCTGAATGTGCAAATGGCTTGGGGGAATAAAGGCCATATATGACAAGCCTACAGCTACCCCCTTTTCCCCTGCCCACTTCTTCTCCGCTTCAGAAAAAAAAAAAGAAAAGAAAGCAAGCCTACAGCTAACATCATAGTCAACAGTGAAAAACTGAAGGCTTCTCCTCTATGATCAGGAACGAGGCAAGGATGCCCATTCCCACCACGCCTATTCAACATAGTACTGGAAGTTCTAGACAGAGCAATTAGGAAAGAAAAAGAAATGAATGCAACAGGCCAGGCACAATGGCTCATGCCTGTAATTCCAGCACTTTGGGAGGCCGAGGCAGGAAGATCACTTGAGGTCAGGAGATCAAGACCAACCTGGCCAACATGTTGAAACCCTGTTCCTACTAAAAATACAAAAAATTAGCCAGGTGTGGTGGGGTGTGTCTGTAGTCCCAGCTACTCAGAAGGCTGAGGTGGGAGAATTGCTTGAATCTGGGAGCCGGAGAGTCAACTCCAGCCTGGGCAACAGAGTGAGACTTCAACTCCAAAATAAATAAATAAATAAATAAAAGGCAACCCAATCAGAAAGGAAGAAAAAAAATTATCTCTGCGGATTATACAATCTTATATCGAGAAAACTCTAAACACTCCACAAAATAACTGTTAGAACTAATAAACAAATTCAGTAAAGTTGCAGGATACAAAATCAACATTAAAAAATCTGTTGCGCCAGTCACAGTGGCTCACGCCTGTAATCCCAGCATTTTGGGAGGCTGAGGTGGGCAGATCACCTGAGCTCAGGAGTTAGAGACCAACCTGGTCAACATGGTGAAACCCCATCTCT